ACTCGAGTACAACTGGATTAATTAAACCTTTCTATATTCATTTATATCTTAAATTTTGCTCACAATGAGTATGTATATATATTATATAGAAAAAAGCCAGTTAGTCTTCTTGACCTAGTGTTAGCTTGAGGCTTTTGTAAGAATGAGTCCCAGCACTGACGACGTTCGTCACATGATGGACGAAAGCTCAGCCCGTCTCCGCCAGAAATGTTGGAGCATGTCTCGTGGGCTGCATCAACCTGAACGCCATATTAAGCCCAAAATGCTGCAGTACAACGCGAATTAGCCGACGTACTCTGGTGAGATTGGCCTATGAATTTCTTCATAATCATGTACTTGCATAATAAGTGAGTCTTCACATCAATAATATCTCAGGAAATCCTTCGAGACGCACATTTTCTTCAATCTGGCACAACAGCATCCATTTCAATGCACACTTACAAGGTAGGGGGGTTCTGACACCTGTGCAGAGAGGAGAGTAGGCCTAGTCTCCCAGGGTAAGAGGAGAGTCATCTGCTTTGCCAGGAAGACGATATTTCGTGGTCGTACCAAGACCCCGGCAGGAGAAAATGTGTCCTGCCACCAGGCGGAATAGGTGAATCCTGTCAGCCTGGGATCCTCCTGTGCGAGCTGGCGAGCCAAAAGCAGAGCCACAGCGAGGCGAAGATCTGGAGAAATCAGACGTCCTGAGGGATTGCAGACGAGACGAGAGAAGTCGACCTCCTCAACAAAATCCTAAATCAAAACGTGTTAGTAGGGATGAGTAGTAGGTATGAGGAAACAATTTCATCATAGATTATTTTCAGCTTCTTGAGGCACAATCATTCAAAGTAGATTTCCTTCTTAATTCATAGGCATCCTCTGGACAAAAAATGATTTCAATAAAGTCTTAGGTAGCCCATTAATTTTAAATATTAAACCTCGGGGAGCCAAACACCATCAGAGCTGACGGCCCACATACCCCGGTAAGTCTCACCTGGCAGTGAAACCGAGTAATTAATAAATATTATCTATCACCACACAATTCCAACCATACTTAATATTAAAAAGGCACAAACTATGCTTGGTGGTTCCATAGGCATCTCGCATTCCAGGCGGACACTGGCAGTAGTTTGATGGAATATACCACTTTTAAGTGCAACTTATAGCACCTATCGTCGGGAAATTTTAATTTGTGAAGAGGCTAAGTCAAATAATAGTTAAAATTGTAGATTGATTTCAAACCGCGACATGATTTGTTAGTTACTTGACAGAAAACTCGTTAGAATAGAATAGCTGTGTTTTATTGGATAGTGTTCAGATTACAATGCTCTCCAATTGTCACAAATCGTGTCCGAAATCTAAGCTGAGGCAGTCTAGCTTTACCTTATCTCATTAAGTAAATCGAATATAGATGGGACCTTATCATGTATAATGTGGGCTGGTAATAACACACTTACATGTACACTCACAGGCATGGAGAACTGGTTATAAGTGTATAATATGGCATGAATTTTCATTCGGGAGAAAAAGTTGGCTAGAAGGAATTTGTGAAATAGTCCAACCGGAAAGCGAAGGAGGAGTAAGGCGAAGTGATGTATTGAGGGAAGAAGTCCTGGACTCAGCGTCGTTCAACCCTGATAGATCTGTTCTAAGCTTTCGTCTGTATTGTGACAGGCATCATCGGAGCAAGAATGCATAGTTTACAAGATAGATCAAAAATTCAATAAACCAAGAAAAAAGGCGGCCCCTTATAGCGAAAGACTTAAACATCCAGGAAAGGTAACCGCTCACCTTCCTCTACTTCCATTGTAAATTTGATTTTTTCATCAATCTGGTTTATAAACTTCAGAAAATCTTCTAGTTTTTCTCTTCCATGTGACTAAAGTGCAAAGCAGTTGTCCAGGTACCGCATGAACACTCCTGGATGCTGCGGTGACATGTTGAAATTCTCTTCTAATTTGTTCATGTATATGTTTGCCAAAAGAGATGAGAGCGGCGATACCATAGGAAGTCCAAATATGTGTTAAGAGATGTTTCCGTTGAATGTCACGATATATCACCAAGGTATTCGTCGGAATCCAGTCTTTCTCAATAGCTTATAAATTTATCAAACGAGTTCAGCAATTCTCCAATTAAGACATCAGTCCTAGTCAACTTTTACTGAGGGGTTAGGCTTTGTGTTCCGTCACCTATCAGTCAAAGAGACTGAATACCTTCGTTGATTTCGTTAATCGGGAGACTCTCAGTTGCCTGTCACCGGGTTCAACTTCATTGTTGATTGGCATATCTTGATGAGAGAAAACTATAAACTGTAGCAGCCATCTCACAGATAAGAATGGGTCAGCTGCATTGTGACCTACAGCGAATATTTTTATAAGTAAGTCCAGTAATTGTACTCATTAACACACAAAACCATTTGTCCCAGACTTTGCGAAATTCCCCTGATGATAGCAAAACTAGTAAAATGTTGATATGACCTGGTACAACGTACCCAATCTTATGACTTCCGGCATAGTTTTAACGATAATTTCCAGCAGTAAACCGTTGACTTGGTATCAACGTTAACGCATGCTGAAAATTTTCATGACTACTATAGAGGACGAAGGAATAGGCCCGTTTCATAAGAACTTCTTGCTACCCTGACCAAGTTGCCAAAACGAAGGCAACAGAATATTATATAGCTAAAAAAGGCAACGAACAAACCCAAATCCACACCAGCTTTGCCTATGATCCAAAACTTATCAGTCAGTTACTTATCGATTATAGTAAGCATAAAGAGAACCTAGGCTTTAAAGAATCCCATAGTAGATTGATGCTGAAATACCTGTAATTTTGTTTTAAAATGCGCCTTTTCACACGAAATGAAAAGTATTCAACATTGCATACTAACATATAATCCTTGAATTCAACCCAAATTGGTAGAAATCCATGGCCAAAAACGAAAAATATACAATATACTAAACTGAAAAACTTTTATAAAGTCAATCTCATACACTAATATAGGCACCGACACATATTTTTTGGCATCGACTCGTTGGTCTAAAAGAACTTGTCATAAAAATGTGCATGCAAAAAGTCACAAAAGTATCTTGAATTCTTTTTGCTTCAAACAAAGAAAAACAAATCAATTAAAAAGGTGAATATTTTCACCAACTATACATTTTTTCCACGCAAAATCCTTCTCAATAACATAAAATATCTCGTTCTCCGATAGGCCATTTTTGGAAACCTTGAAAAATTCCGACTCAGTGAGATAAGTGGCTTGATTTCGTTTTCCCAACTTGGTCGTGTTGTCAGGGCTACATTGTCTCAAGTTCTCTGCCAAAATAGCCATAATATATTAAGTATAGATCTATGGGTCTGGTACATTTTCAGACGATTTGTCGGTATCTGTCAGCATTATCAATGAGTTTTACCTTAATTAGCATCATGATTTCTCTTCTTTATTAGTCCAAGGATTAAGTTCACTCGCCCATTTGTACATCGGTGATATGACTATTAAGGTTCAATAAGAACGTCAATTATGATGCCGGTGAAATCTCTGAGAAAGTACTAAGTCTAGTGTCTGAAGATGGAAATTTTATCGCTGAGCTCTCTGGACAAATCGCCCTAACATCAAAAGTATGTTGCGGAAACTAGGTCAAACCATTTCCACGTAAGCCAAACCATCTAGGACGTCATAACTACGATCAATTTAGACAGTCTCATGACGTGCATAACAAGATACAGTGTTTGGAGAAAGGGAGGGTTCAACGCTTACCTCAAGACTAGCACTAGTGGTCCCAACAAGGTTCAAACATGATTCGTCCTCATTTTCAAAGAAGCGGAGAGGCTGCCAGGTGAGGCATGGGGAGGGGGAAAATATGGAGGTTAGGAGTTGACGAAGTAAAACTGAAAAGGAAATGAACACGAATTCTAGAATGTGGACAGGATAAATAAATGTTACAGACATAAAATAAGTTCCGACCTATACTTTTGAACAAAACGATATCCATGTAGATAAAATATCACCAGTGACAAACTGTCAATGTGAGTAGTTAAGTTGAATATCGTTAAAGATGACCAAAACCAAGCCATAGGGTGCTTTGATGGACTTTAGCAGAATGGAAATGGAGGTCGATAATTCATCTTGAATCAGTAAATTCATCAAACAAGTGCCTTTTAAGAAGAATTTTTATTTCGAACCTTACTGGAAGAAGTAAAAGCAATAAGATGGTATTGTACTTGAGATTCGCCTCAAAAGGTTTCATTCCATAATTGAAATAAAATAATAAAAAATAACTTTTTTAAATGAAGTAATGGGGTTCATCTGGTTAACTACGTCTTGAAACTATCGAAACAAACTAGATCTTGAATAATAACTTTATTCGCCCTAGAGAGAAAAAAGTGATTATGAGACCCAAGCGAAGTCGAATTTGCAGTTCACTCTGAATGAGAAAACCCTTTGAGAGGCAAGACTAAGGGGATGAAGGCCAGGATGGTGTGGCCTTTAGTATGTTTGCGGTCTCCTTTCGTTGTATAGAAGTTGTTTGGACTTGTTTTCGCAACTTAGTCATAGTGTCAGGAATACCTAGTGAAACGAATTTTGTCCGGAGTCCAAAGAATGCATAATAATTTCAAGAGTCGGACCGTGGACTTGGTAGATTACTAAACGTTTCGCCGGAATTGTAGTCGACATTGTCAGTGAGCCTTGCCATTTTTAGCGCCACACTACACACTACACTCAAGAAGACAAGTGAAGTCGATCCTCTGACCAATTGCCTCTTTGACGATGCCGACTACGATGCCGGTGAAACGTCTAGGAACGTACCAAGTCTACGGTCCAACTCTGGAAATTATCATGTATACTATGGACTCCGGACAAGATGCGTTCTTCTAGATCTTACTGACAATATGACCAAGTTGCAAAAACAAGGTCAAACAACTTCAAGACCAAGGGGAATTCAATAAAGTTGTGAGGCTTACCAACATCATTGTATGAAAATTAAAAAATCTGTCCTTCGTAAAAGATTAACCATATGCCTGGGTA